GAATTCCAAAAGTGAACTAGTACCCTGAGAAAGACTTGATCGACACTGATTTTCAGGAGGTCCAAAATCCGTCCATAGGATTTTTCAAACTCAGTTTGGACCTCCGGGGGCATCGTTGCACTGAGCCGCTCTAGCTTCTCAGTATGGCCTCGGAGAATGTCCACCTTCCCCACTTGTCTACTTGACCCCTCCATCTTCTAAAACCAAAATGTATGATTTGATGAAGATGATGTTTATTGTATGGATGTGAGTGTTTATTTTGCTATTTTATCATGTTTTTTCCTACATGATGTATGGTATTTGCGTTTATTTTTTGGAAGAATAAACTATCTATATGAATGTTTTATGAATGCAATGTTTTGGACCCGGTCTTATTTGTGAATTTTGAAAAAATGAATTTTTATTTTTGTTTTATTGTTGTTTGTTTATTTTATAGCCTTTTATCTCTTCTGTCGGAACTGCGTGGCTACTTAGCTTACAAAGAACCTGAAACCAGGCTAGCTAAAAGGCAGACTGTCCGAGATAAAATATGGCTTTATGTGAAAGAATATTTATCGTCCCTTATCTCTTCTGTCGGAACTGCGTGGCTACTTAGCTTACAAAGAACCTGAAACCAGGCTAGCTAAAAGGCAGACTGTCCGAGATAAGGGTGTTTATTTGTAAAATATTTTTTGCGATTTTGTTCCGTTGTTCGCTTATGCTATGCAACATACAAATGCGACAAACATATGCACACACAATTCGACCATCCCCGAACCGGCGAGATTTCGTTTTTATCACGAGGTAGGGTTTTCCCTGAGAAGAGTGCATTGGTTTAGGGTAGGTTCTAACTGTTCTCACCAGGCTAAGGCCCCCAAGGTGCCCCCATTATAGGGTCCCCACTCTCCAGCCGTCCGACCATGCTCAACACTAAGGTCAGAGTCGGTCTTGTTGCCAAAAGAGGAAGGTTATCCCCTTGATCGGTGGTTTCCGATCACACTGGTGGGCACACGGCCCTAACTGCAGCGAACCGTACCTGCCACCCACTCCCTATGGTTATCTCACTTGCCCCCGGGTATAGGAGGAACTGTAGTGTGCAAGGGTTTGTGTGCAATTTATATTTCAATCAATTGCGTAAATATAAACAAACAACAGTTTATTGAAAGCCAAACAATAAAACATGTCATAAATACAAGTTAAGGGCAAAAAGTGTTATTTTCTTGGTTTATTTATTGTTTAAGCCGGCCCATCACTAAATGGGATTAACTCTCTAGGCTTCCCCAGTGGTGTCGCCATCTGTCGCCGCCGTCAAAAACGAGGCGGTCAGAGCGACGCGATGGTTTTATCGACCCTCTTGTTTTCGCGTTTTTTATTGGTGGTTACAACGTCTTTAGGTTGTCCGACAACCGGGCTAACCTAGGGGCGAGGTTTTCAAAAAGTGTCCTTGGGCTGTCCGATAACCGGGCTAATCCAAGGACTTATTTATTTTGGGTTCTATGGAGTCGCCACCGATATTTTTACCATAAACATCGGAAAAGGGGTTTTAAAAAGGCGTTGGTTTTCGAAAACCAACTTTGGTCATTAGAACCAGAGTTGGGTAAGGGAGTTGGTTACGTGCAAAGGGAGTATTAGACCCTTTGCGACGCCCCTTTCGGGTTCCCTATGATAGGCCGGCTTATTTTTATTGATAAACTAGAAAAACGCACTTTTGCCCTTTTTATTCTGCGGAATTTAAAAGTATGACTACATGGCCCTAATGTCTACTGCATAATTTAAGATAAAAGCGGTAAAGGTGGAAAGAGAGAATTTGAACCTCCGAAGCACGCTTTTTATATTAATTCTCTGGAAAAATAGGGTGCTTTATGGTAGCCCTTCACTCTACAAGACGTCGGAAACCTCTCGAACGCCGAAAATCACTCTTGAAAACACTCAGAAACTCCGAAAATGCATCGGAGGGATTCTAGAGAGAAGTTTTAGAGAGAAGGGAGAGCTATGCAGCTGTGGTGTGTGAAAATGAGGGGGAGAGCCCCTATTTATAGGTTTTCGCGTCTGTCGGATGGCGAGACCGCCGGTCTCGCTCGACGAGGTCGAGACCGCCGTCTCGTCCAACGAGACCGCCGTCTCGTTCTTCACAGGAAACGAGACCGGGTCCGGGTGAACGAGACTGCCGTCTCGTTCTTCGCGAGAAACGAGACCGGGTCGCGGGTGAACGAGACCGCCGTCTCATTTTTGTAGGCAACGAGACCCCGATTTGGGTGAACGAGACCGCGGTCTCGTTTTCGTAGGCAACGAGACCGGGGTCTGGGTGAACGAGACCGCCGTCTCGTTTTTGTGGGGCAACGAGACCCCGGTCTCGTTAGACGAGACGGCGGTCTCGCTTGCTACGCGAGGCGAAACGGCGGTCTGGGTCATCCAGAAGGCGGTCTCGTCCCTTCGAGGCGAGAAAACTTATTTTTCGGCCCAGAAAAACTTCCTATCTTGGTACGGGAGCCTAATAGTCTCTCCTAGTGGCTTGTTAGGCTTCAGCCGTCTTCAAAATAGGGGATCTTCTGACTTTATTTGGAGCCCGGGCAAGATTTGGGGTCTACAGATAGCAGTCATCATCCATTGCTTGAGGGTGTGGCGCCACTACTTGCTAGGGGCACACTTCAGCATAAAGACAGACAACGTAGCCACTAGCTACTTCCAGACCCAGAAGAAACTCTCCCCAAAGCAAGCCAGATGGCAAGACTTTTTGGCCGAGTTTGACTACTCATTGGAATACAAGCCGGGGAAGGCTAACGTGGTGGTCGATGCTCTAAGCCGCAAGGCTGAACTTGCCGCCATCAGCAAAGCCAACGGGGATGTCCTTACCCGTATTTGAGAAGGGCTCGAACGGGACCCCGTCACGAAGGCACTCATGGGGCTCGCAAAGGAAGGCAAGACCCAACGATTTTGGGTAGAGGACGGTTTACTCTATGCAAAAGGGCGACGTCTGGTTGTGCCAAAGTGGGACGGACTACGACGAGATCTCATGAAGGAGTGCCATGATACCAAGTGGGCAGGCCACCCAGGGCAACAAAGGACGATAGCCTTACTCGAGTCCAACTACTTTTGGCCCCAACTGAAGGACGATGTGAAAACATATGTGAGGACCTGTCTCGTGTGCCAACAAGATAAGGTCAAAAACAAGCATCCAGTGGGACTACTCGAGCCATTACCAATACCTGCAGGACCATGGGAGTCGATCACGTTGGATTTCATTAGCGCCCTACCACAGTCTGAGGGATACGGGTCAATAATGGTCGTGGTGGATCGATTTTCAAAATACGGGACCTTTATCCCTTGCACCAGGGACTGTACTACCGAGGAAGCTGCCCATGGATATTTCAAGAATGTGGTCAAGCACTGGGGACTACTAAGGAGCATTTTTAGTGATAGGGATCAGCGTTTCACGGGGCGACTTTGGACGGAACTTTTCAAGCTCCTAGGTACCGAGCTTAACTTCTCAACAAGCTTCCACCCCCAGACCGACGGGCAAACGGAGAGGGTAAACGCGCTACTAGAGTGCTATCTACGGCACTTTGTAAGCGCTAACCAGAGGGACTGGGCCAAGCTGCTTGATGTGGCCCAATTTTCCTATAACATGCAGAGGAGTAAATCAACTGGGCGAAGCCCATTTGAGGTGGTCATGGGACGACAACCATTGACTCCTCACACAATTGCCCTACCTACAAAGGATGGGAAGAGTCCCGGGGCAGAAAAGATGATCAAAACTTGGGAGGAACAAGCAGACTTAGCACGTTCATACTTGGAGAGGGCCCATAAAAGAATGAAGAAATGGGCCGATACAAAGAGGCATCCGCAAGAGTTCTCCCAAGGCGACCTAGTCTTTGTGAAGCTATTGCCTCAACAATTCAAGACCTTTTAGAGCTTGCACAAGGGACTAGTACGAAGATATGAGGGACCGTTCCTAGTGATCAAGAAGATAGGGAATGTTGCTTACCGGGTCAATCTCCCACCAACACTCAAGATCCATCCAATCTTCCACGTGAGCATGTTAAAGCCTTACAAGAAGGATGTGGAAGACCCAAGCCGAGGGAAATCACGGAGAGCACCGCCCCTTACAACCAAGTCTTGCGACAAGGAAGTGGATGAGGTGCTCACATCAGACATTGTAAGGAGACGCGGGGTACCGCCAAAGAAATGGTACTAAATAAAGTGGAAGGGACTCCCAGCATCTGAAGCATCATGGGAATTCGAGGAGGACTTATGGTAATTCCGAGATACCCTCGAAGATTATGAGGCGATAGGGACGCCGCCACAATAGGTGGGGGAGAATGTAACGCCCCGCATCACTCCCTGCACGCACACGAGCAAGAACGAGTCTTGCCCGCCTTTTTTTCGCACTAAGCCTAGTTACTTGTATATGGAAGCCTTTAGAAAGGCCTAGACTTGACTGGAAGCTTCTAGAAGGCTCCAGAATTATGTAGATATTTGTAGTAGGGACAAGAACATCCTAGAACCTTGTAGAGACTTGTAGAAAGGGCAAGGATCATCTTGAGTTGTGTAGAAGGTTCTAGGACATGTGTAGAAAGAGTAGGATTTGTGTGGAAGGGTCTAGAAAGACCAAGACCCTTGAAGGATCTAGAGAATTCCCTAGAGGAGGTGGTGCCTATAAATAGAGGAGGCCCCCTCATTTGCAAACCATCCAAGCATTTGAGAGTTTTCTTGTACTCAAGTAATACAAGCATTTTCCCTTCAAGTTCTCTTAAATATCCTTTCCCACTTTCTCTAGCCAAAGCACTTGCACACACCGAGCACGATCCTGAACAAGGTGAGGCTGACTTAGTTAGTTATGAAGGGCGCACAAGAGGCTAAGGCCGCACGCAACCAAGTTTGAAAAACAAGGGCGTGACAACGCGCCAATCGGTCTTAAAGCCTCGATGTCTGCTAAAGAAGATAGAGATCGAGAGATGTGGCACTCTTCATAATGATTTAGAAAGACAAGCAATAGCTGTTTTAAAAGGCAAAGGTTGACTTTAATTAGCAAGCTCAAGGTCAATTTCTTTTTCCAAGTCAAGGCGATGCAATACTCGAGCAATTAGGAAGAAGCAGTTCCAGGCCTTAGGTCCAGACCAGATCTGAGAACTTTTGAGATGTGAATCATAGCCGACTTACTATAGTATAGTATAGTATAGTTTCATACCCAACAGTTAAAAGTGATGTCATATTATACTTTATAGAGAATCACCCATCAGCCTTCAGATCTGAGTTTGAATTGGCTAGGGGGCATGAACGGTAGTCAGCTGTCCTCGTTCTCCTCTTTCCTTCCGATGAAGGGCTCTTGCTCACTTTTCTCTACTCTAAAGGGCTAGTCCTGGTTCTGTTAAGGTCCTAGTTCTGGACTTGCTCGACCAAGTCTTAAAGGTTGGAAGTAGATTGTGAATGATGGAGTTGGCGCTCAATGGAGCTCTTTCTCGCCCTTTCTATAAGAGAGATGGGATCACCTAAGTCTCGTTAAGGATTGATGGCTAAAGGAGCGTCTACCCTTATTTCTATGCTTATTTTGTAGAAGAAGTCAGAATAGAAGAATTGAAGGGCTCGTTCTTCCTGGCTTCCAGGCTCCAGCCTTTCCACAAGCAAGTTGACTTAGTCTAGTTGACCAGCAGTAGAGGAAGGGAAGGGTATGGGTAAGGCAAGTGAATCAGAAGCGGTAGCAATAGGACCAAGGGCGCGCTTTAACTTAAGGGTACACTTTTCTCCTTCTAGGATTTGCAAGAGTTTACTTTCAAAGGCATTTTAAGAACCTACCCTTGATCCACTGGATATGAATGCTAATCATTGATCCGAAAGTGCCACAGTCCCCTCTCTACTGCCTATTACCTATTCTCTTCCTTGCGTGGTATATCTTTACTAGGGGAATCAAGGCAAAAAATTGCTTTGGACAATTCATCCTTTATCCCACATTCCATTCGTAGCTGTTATTCTGACATCTGATTATAGCACCAGCTCTTCGTCTTCATAGAATAGAATAAGGCATTAGACATGGGCAAGAGCCCTTCTAGCAGCAATCTTTTATTGAAGTGAAGGAAGAAAGCCAAAAGCTCTAGTCCCATCTCTGTCTGTTATGGAATTGGATAGTTACTCATATGAAATAGTAGGGGATTCGACAACAGGATTTATGTACAAGCAAGACCTATTATGCAACTCTAAAGGTAGCTCCTGCCTCTCGAGCGAGGGACTTATTTCCTTACTTTGCTTGCATCCCTTGTTGGAACTAAAGGCAATGAATATTGGATTCGGAAGGTCTTCCACGTCTCTATGTCATCCGGTGATCCATATGCATAGTACAAGTGCTTATCTGTGGAAATCAACGAGTGAAGTCGATTAAAGACCATGGGATAAAGGCTCTAAGTCCTTTTATCTCGCTAGATGGGGCATTAACGGTCTAAGCACTTTCCCTCTTCTAAGGTGGAGGCTTGCCCCTCTTCTCTAAGCCCGAAAATGGCGTATCGTATGCCTTTCTCTCTCTTAGACTAATAGCTCTTATTCCGACAAAGACAAAACCCTTTTATTTCAGTCAACTCTGTCCCCTCTTTAAGGCAAGGAAGATCTTTGGACAAAGACTTAAAGAAGATTGGGAGCCGTTGGCATTCCCCTATTTGAGACATTAGGCCTTTTCGTGCAACCTCTTCTAGCAGCATATATTTATATTCCCTAAGAGCAAGAGGGGATTCGAAAATAGTAAAAAAAAAAAAGGGGCGTAGCGGTAAGACAGAAGAGCCTTTTATATTCCTCATTCCTACTCCTAGCTACTAGTAGGTCGCTCACTCTCTTTAGAGTAAATGGTTGACTCTAACACTCGAAATAAAAGAAGAGGAGAGATTCAAACAACCAGTAACCATCGAAGTGAGACCAGAGTCTCTAGGTCACAGTCCATGGTCGAGATACAGAAACAGAGCAACCCACTATCGAACCTATAGACAGCATAGTTGAAGCGAAAGGGGACTTTTTCTTTTCTTTTATAAGACTATGGGACTTGGTCAAAGACTAGGAGAGCGAGTCAAGACACTCTCTTCTTCCTCTCCTTATAAAAAAAAAGGAGAAAGGCAAAGAAATGAAGCAAGACAAACTGAAGGACAGATAGAGCTAAGCTCAATTCATTGTTACAGGGTGCCACGCGCTGATAAAAGCACAAGAGGCACAAACAAAGCAACAAGGATGAGGGAAGGACAAGAACGAGAACATCGAAGCAAAATTATATATATAGTAATCTTATATATAGTAATCTTAATTGCTCTTTTTTCTTTCCTTTTGAAATTCGAATTCGATAAACAACAATTAAAAAAAGCTGAACAAATGAAAGGATGAGCACCTCCTCTGAACAAATCAAATGATGAACAGTTCCCATAAAGGAAACCCTAAATATAAGAATTTCAACAAAAACAGTCACACCTGATAATGGAGACAACAAATTGTAGAAGTCTGTAGAATGATAGTTCCAAGCACAAGTGTGATTAACAATGAAAGCACCGAAGGCAATAAAGAAAGGATTTTCTCATAAAAGTGTAAGATGACACTGTTGCCTTACTCAAAATGATTTTCTCAAAATTAATTGTGTATTCAAAATTTTGTGTTCAAGTTTTGTATTTTGATTGTTCATCAAAATTCATTTAAATAGGAAAATAGCATTGAATATGTCAGAATAAAAATAAAAAATAATCGTTGCTCAATAATTAATTCTTAGAAAGAAATCAGGATGTTTTCAACAACTATTATTCTTCAAAAACGGATATATTTTTCAAAATCGAAGTGTCATAATCGATTATGTTATTTGCATAATCGATTATGACAGAGACAACATCAATTTTTCATTTCTAATGCATCATAATCGATTATGATGCTTATATAATCGATTATGACAAAGGCAAAAACAATATAATCGATTATAATACTTATATAATCGATAATGATAGAGAACTTTCGAAAACAATTGATTCATTTGCTGACATAATCGATTTTGAGCCTCTCATAATCGATTATGACAAAGAAAAATGTTATAATACGAAATTGCTTCACACTTATGTTTTGGAGGCTTATGCATAATACTTCCTCATCAACTTGTACCTCCATATCCAGTGTTCTAAGACTCTATTTAGTCTTCCATAAATCTTGAGTAGTGTTGACTTGAATCTTCATCAAAATCATCTCCTTCAAAATGTAGGGAAATGTTTCATATTGCTATCAATCTCCCCCACAGTGCTTTCAATCTCCCCCTTTTGATGATGATCAAGGAAACACCTGAAATAAATTTAAAATGTTTGACTCTATATAGCCAGCTCAAGATTAACATAAATTTTCATACATGAATACAGATTTGCACAAATTAACACAGATTAAACTCACCCTAGATATGTCAATAACAAAATTCCCCCTTACTTATCTTAAGCAAGAATTTCCCTGATTAATTCAGAATTAGGAAAAGATTTCACATAGATTTTTAATAAGATTTTTAATTCATCAAAATATTCTCCCCCTGTTTCACGGATAATCATTAAAAAAAAACATTGCAAGGAAAATTTTTAAATCAAGACTAAGAAACTATTGCAACACCAACAAAGATACTACATCAATTTCAAGAAAGAAAAACAAATGCAACAACATAAAGGAAGTCATAGGAACTAAATATCACCTTCATCGTCGTTTTGTGCCTAAGATTCCTTTATGGTCCTTTCAATTGAAGAGAGATGACCATCAATATCCTGAAAACCTCTGCGGATGGAGGAAGTCATGACATCCACACTTTGATGCATGTAAGCATTCAGGTCTTCATAATTATTCTGTTGAATGGCAAACCTCTGTTCTTGAGCAGCTGCAAATTCTACTTGCCATTGTTGTTGGGAGGCGTACCACTGATCCTGAATAGCATAATAATCCAACTGCCACTATTGCATACTTCGCAACATTGCCATGTAGTCATCTTGGGCAAGAGGAGGATGAGGCATATCTTGTTCTAGAGACAGATGTTTTGGTGGAACTAACTTCTTGTCTCTAAAGGATTGCAGAAACTTGTCTTGAAGATCATCATTAGAGATCCCACCAGATAGGTTGTTGGACCTGACAGGTGCTAAAGACTGGGCAGTCTCCTTTTCTCTTCTACGTGAGGTCAACTTTCTTCTTTGACTGCTTGAGGAAAACATGATGATGAAGAAGGAAGAGGAGAATGTAATTCTGAAACTTAGAGAGTGGGAGAAAGACAAAAACTAGAAAAGAATGAAGGTTTGGAATGGTGGAAAATGAAGAGATGAAAGAACACTTAAATAGAAAGAAGGGGGGGCTGAATTTCAAATTCAAATCATATTTTAAATTTAACTTTTCAATTTAAATTTTAAATTTTCAAATTTCAAACTTCAAATTGCAAAATTCTGAATTTCAAATTTCAAACTACAAAATTTCAAATTTCAAATGAGAGGATAACAGAAATGGAAAGAGAGTTGCAAGGAGTAAGTGCAGAAATGAGACAGTCATGGAGAGAAAAACAATAGGGTTTCTGAAATGCAAATTTTTAAAAAATCACGTCATAATCGATTATATGGTTCCCATAATCGATTATGATAGAGTAGAAACCACACTCTGGAAGAAAGCATAATCGATTATGGCAACACCTGTATAAACAACATAATAGATTATCACAGCACACACAGAAACAATATAATCAATTATATTAGTCCATAATCTATTATTTCAGAGCAAAAAACCACACTATAATCAATTATGCTATATCATAATCGATTATGACAATAAGCAAGAGTCACTTAGCAATTCAAAATGACATAGAAAAAAGCATCAGACTTGTTCCTTTCTTGAAAAATAGGGAAAATGAAATAGAGTGAAGAAAGAACTAGAGAAATTACCTTCCATGGTGGGATTGGTATGGAAGATTTGCATGCTTCAATAAACAGAAATAAAAGATTCATGAAGTAATTGTGAGAAAGTATAAATGTTTTGGTGGTTAGTATAAATGATTTTAAAAGATAATAATTTTAGTTTAAATTAAATTTAATATATTGTTACTAATTTTTAAATTAAAAAACTAAATTAATTATTATCAATAATATTATATCAACTTTTAAATTAAAAAATTGTAGCAGTTTAAAATTTTTGCCAATAATTATATAATTTTGTGACAGTTTATAAAAACTTAAAAATAACACCTCTACTAATTAACTAAATTTTTTTAGTGAGTTAACGGATTTTTTTAGTTAATAACAACAATTATTTGATGATTTTTTTAATTTTTAATAATAATAAAACTAATTATAATGATTATAATAATAATAATAATAATAATAAATAAATAAAAATAATATTAATAATAATAAGCATATTCAAAAACAAAATAATTAATACTTATTATTATTAAATTTCTTACTTATTATAATTATTAATTTTTTATATTATAACTATCATTATCAATATTTTTATTGTTAAATATTATTAATATTATTCTTATAATTTAATTAAGAATAATAATAATAATTAATAGATTATTTATTAATATGATTTTATTAATCTTAATTATTATTATTTTATTTATTTATAATAAATTTAATAATAAAAAATAATATTAAAATATATGCAAAAGTGAAATAGCAATTGACTATGTTAAAAAAACCTAAAATAATACTAGAAAGCATGATTTAATTAAATTAAAACAAATGTTGAAGTCGTGGTTTACTCTAAGTTATGTATGACAACGTGGCGGAGTCAAGATTTGTCTCTCTAATTTCGTCTTTAACTTTTTTAATTATTCTCATTTTCGTTTTCATTCTTAATCTTTGTCAATATTAAAAATTAAATCTTTATTTTTATTCTTGTTGGATTTTGAGTTTTCTCACCCTGATCCATTCCCATTTCACATTATTTCTAAAAAATAATTATACTTATAATAAATTAATTTTAATATTTTTAATGTATTTTTTATAAAAAATAAACATTTATAATTTTTTATTATTACTGATTGAATATATATTTTAAAAAATAAACATTTATAATTTTTATTATTACTGATTGAATATATATTTTAATTTATTATATTTATATTAAAATATGTATATAAGAGAAATATTTAATTATTTTTTTCTTTATATATATATATATATATAATATTTATAATATTATTATTATTATTATATATTATGACATTATATTTAAATATTTAATTATATATATATAAAGTTAATTACTTTTTAAGTTATTATTTTAAAATATAAAATATATAATTTTTGAAAAAATATTTAATAAGTTAATTTTTATTTAATATTTTAAAGATAAAAAATTTAATTATTAATTATTTTTATTTTTTTATCATATAATTATTTTATTAAGAAAAATTGATATATAACAAATAGAAATATAAAATTCAAAAATTATAACATAATAAAATCTAATAAAACAAACTAGCAATAAAATAATATTAGTTATTATTAATATTTATGTAAAATATTTAGAAAAAAATAAATAAATAAATTTTATATTTATCAAATTCATTAAAAAGATTTAAAAAATTAAATTAATTAAAGAGATTAAAAAAATATAAAAAAATTAGAGGTAAAAAATGGAAAATATAATAAATTAATTAATTTAAGAGATGGAAAAAGATAAAAAATAAAAAAAATAAGTAGAAAAAAATAAAAAAATAGAAAAAATTATTCTTTTATATAATGTAAAAAAATGAATTATTTAAAAAAATTTAAAATTTAAATTTAAATATAAATATAAAAGCACACGGATTTTTTAAAGCGGAGAAACTTAAATTCGCTTCTACTCTTATCTACTAAGATTTTTTTTTGTTTTTCTATCAAATTTAGAGGAGAAACGGATCGGTTTCAACTGATAAACTTGAATTGCTCCGCACGTTTTTGGTTTTTTGAACCACAACTTCTCCGATTAGGTAATTATTTGAAAAGCTACCAAATGAGTCATTCTGAAAAAAATATTGCACCTCTTTAGAGGTTTTGACTAAGCATCAACCCTAAAGTACAGGCCCGCTTCAAGCAACTTATATTAGTCACTTTAGAATACTTAATTTCATCTGTTTAAAGCAAAAAAAAAACCCTCAATGCAAGTTACCTCTCTCTCTCGCATTCGATTACTTTGCTGGGAAGGATAATGATATTCCAATTCATTCAAAAAGTAAGTATAAGAAAACTTACAAATCAAGAGAAAGATAAGAAAAACATATGTTTTGGATAATATAAACATAAAATACAAAGTTAAAAATATATATTATAAACGCATAATTATACCCTAATATAAATATCTAAAATTAATTTATATACAAGAAGACAATAAAAAACATATTTTAGCAAAAAGAAAAACAAAATGATGGAGGAAGTTTTGAAAATTGGTAGATGTAGAGAGTAATACGCGGAAGCATGCCGCAAAAATTGACAAAACAGGAAGATTAAGATGATGGAACAAAGGAAAAGGAAGACGACAACATGTTTGAGTTATTGTATCGTAACTTTCAAGGTGCAAATGAGATGTTTTCCGAAAAAAGAAATTTGTGAAGAAAGGAAGACTCATTCAACCATGCTTTGACGCATTCTTAGTCAGAGATATCCAACCATTGCTTTATCAAAGTCTTCACAGGAATATGCCAATGTTCTTCTAGTAGTTCATATAGATACTTCATACTTCAACCTCTGATAAGTTAAGTTAGTGGAAACATTTTCGCTACCTATGCCATATTTACTTATTATTCAACCACGGATAGTTATGTTAGCAGAAAACTTTTGACTATGTTTTTTTCTCACCCATTTTTGGCTTACCAAACAAAAACCCTTTATTTAAATCAAACAAATTTAAATGTGAATTTTTTAGAAAAAACTAGTAGCATCTTAACTTTGGTTGTAAGATTATAAAACACGTTGCAATCAAGCAAGATCTACTTTTGACTTATCTCTTTTGATTTAGTTAAAAATAAAAAAATAAACACAGGGAAAATAAATAATAGAACTCAAAATTCAAAAATCGATACTTAAAAAGAAAAAACTTGTAGGTTTGAACGTAGAGTTAGTGATTTCGACATATATAAGGAATTTTTAAGAGCATGCAATTAGTCAACTGTCTTGGTTTCTTTCACTATTGTGACGCGCTTTTGGCCGTACCTTTCCGAAATTTTCAGGTCAACGTTTACGTCCGTGTCCAAACATGCTTCTTTTTCTTATTCCTTTTACACTCACTCGCACATCTCATTTTTCTTAGAACAAGAAAAAATATATGCCATGAGTCGAGTCGTGAATTTGATAAAATAAAATAAATTATATCAAACGGAAATTTACATGTTAAATATACTCCCATGTTTAAATTAACAAACAAATAATATAAGCACGTAAAATATAACTTTACAATAACAAATAAGGTTATTATTATTATTTTTAAATTGATTTTACAATAACGGATTTTTTTAGTTTTAAAGAATTTTTAACCTTACAATAGTATTATTTGTTGACAACTCAATTTGTTTATCTCTCTACTATTTATATCACTCATTTCTTGGATTTTTTTTTTTCTCTCTCTTTGTTATAAATGATTGTTACAAACGATTTCACATATTGACTCCACTGGGTTGTTTCGAGAAGTAAAAGCGATAAACTCTGCTTTCTTTTTCATAGCCTCTTACCTTCTCTCTCCTTCATCGATGCCGACTTTGAGACTTCAAGTTCCACGGTAACAATAATCCTTTCCCATTAAATATTTGTATCCTCTTATATTATCAAATTTAATGGATATATAGTAAATTTATTTACATGAACATGATTGATAGAGTTCTGCGAATTTTATGTGACTAACTAACTAACTAACTATATATATATATATATATATATATATATATATATATATATATATATATATATATATATATATATATATATATATATATCAGGCTCGAATAAAAATTATAAGATAAGCATATATAGATTACAGAAATGATGAAAATGTATGACATGTAAATTAGTTAATGTATGGAAGTTCTCAACGTTTGAGTTTGGCATCGAAATCAGTTGTCCGTTTCGTAGGAGGTTCAGAAGAAGAACCTGCGGATTTCATCGAAAAAGTTGAAGACGAGGGCGAAGAAGACGAGGTTAAGGGAGGAGGAGAAAGAACCGCGTCACTGGAAGGCAAGGGAATAGCATGAGTATTAGTTGCAGTGTGATGACGAAGAAGGTGGAAGGGAGTTGAAGAGGTTTGTGATGATGGTGGACGATTAGTGAGGTAACCTAATTCCACAGATAGATGAACTTTTTCTGGAAAATTGAGCTTGGCTTTGCTTCCTTTGAATCTGAGAGCTGCTTCATCGTAAGCGAGTGCAGCAGCTTCAGCGGTGGGAAAAGTTCCCAGCCACACTCTGGCTGCTTTCTTCGGGTCGCGAATCTCCGCGGCCCACTTCCCCCACGGTCGCTGTCTCACTCCTCTATACTTTCTTCTTGCGTTTCCTTCACACACACGCATCACACATGTAAAAAATTTCAACAATCAGTTTGCGCGCATCTTTTGTTACGCACACCCACACACGCACGAACATTACAGTCACGTAAGCTACTGTTACAAACTTAACATCATAAATACTTTGAAATTCATAACAGTGTATTTTTTATTTACGGACATAATCTGTTACCATTACACCTACCATTTTAAGCTACCTTTTGTTTAAAGCTTGCAGATATTGGAATTTCAGTTTTTCATTTTTTTTTAAATTAGTTTTGGTGTTCATGATTTTTAAGACAAACTTTGTCATCCTTTTGTAATGTGTGTATAGATATAGATACACATGTCACATATTAACAACTATTATGAGATGGCATGTAACGTGACTTGTCTGGGTTGTCTAGATGCATTGATTTTCAATAGATTTAAAATCTATACTTAAAATTGAAGGATTAAAATTAAGAGGGGGGAACTTCTTTCATTTTTTGTTATTACCCTATATTAGATGTATAAGACTTGTAAATGAGTTTACACATTTGGACACGACTTCTTCACTTCTATTATTGATGAAATTTTAGCTTATATGATATACAAATAATTTTCTTTTGTCATTTGTTGTGAATATAAATGATTTCATGTTATTTTCTTTTATACACCTAAATACAAATTGAATAACGTCTTTCTTTCTTCTCTCCATTTTTTTTTTTCATTTGGTGATTTGATATTTTATAAAAATACAAAGACGGTAAATTAAAAGACATATGAAATGAACAGTATATTTTCTCATTGTTAATAATTTCATAAGTCTAATTATTTCACACCATTCATACACCCAAAATACGTAATTCAGACCATCTACTTAACTTTCTGAGCATTAGGATCGACTTATTTTACATCAACTAACTGTGATTTGGGTTTGTTCATCAGATTGCATTATGTCAGTTTAATTTGTCATTAGATGCCTTTCACGATTGTTAATACTTGTATTAGACCTTTTATGTTGACTTTTGGGATGTCATAAGGTAAGGTTAAATTATTTATTTGTTTACTTTAAAAAAAACATTTTTAAACTATAACTTTCTGGTGAAAATAAAAAAGAAAAGAAATAAATTTAAATGGTTTTATCTGTCTCATTCTATATTTTAGGGTGCAAGAGAGACACTAATTAAGGGATCTTCTTACCTTTTTTTAGTGATAGATTTTTGTTTTCATTCATTTTATTAAATATACAATTGTAATACAACTTGCACTCACATTCTAATATAACTATATTTTATTGAAGTTGGTATTTTAAAAGTTTGTCTAATGATTTGTGTAATCACAGAAACACCAAAAAACCTTTTATCAACTTCAGAAAAATATAAATTACCCAACTTTATAACTGACACACACAAATATTGTCGAATAGTTTTTCTACAATATTTAGGACCCTCTAAACTTCATTCACCCTAATATTTTAAACTAGATTGTATTATAAAATACACCACAACATCGTACTTTATTGACATGCTGTGTAGTATACACACACACACACACCAAACACTACTTAACACAAAACTCTTTGTATCTGCCATTGTCTACCAAATAATACATAGAATAGTAAACTTGTAGTGTCATAACTCATTTACCTATGTTGTAAGGAAAGAAAAGTTTAATTTTTTTTATCTGCAAAATCAAGTTTTTTTCTTAAACTAAATAAATAAAAATATAACCTCATCTTTTTTTCTTTTTCCTATTCACGCTTCTCAACCAAATATACCATTGATTTGAAAAAAGGAAAGGAAAAGAAAAACCATCAAATTTTCATCGTTTTATTTTCCTCAAAAAATATGTAAAAGAGGATCTAAACTGGTGTCTATATATTCACAACATTGATAAAAAATAAAAAATAAAAAACTCCAATCATTTCATTCCATTTCTTCTAGGCTTGCGTCATCATCTGTTGAAAATAGAGTTTCCTATACTTTTTCTTTGTCTTTCTTGTTCAAATCATTAATATTTTATTAAATAGTAAAGAAATGGTGTAATGAGGAGCGTGCAAAAAAAAAGTAACGTAAGTAGACATTTTTTAATCCAATATCATATAAGTGCATGGGAAACAAGATTGAGAAAACCATGAATAATCATCAATGTAAACAAAAAACCATTTATATACATGCAGGAACCTCACACACTAGTGCAGAATATGGCTTTTACGTCACCCAATTGTCGTCGCATGCACGTATATTCGACGTAAATAAAACGCGGTGGCAATTTTGTAAATATGGGACAAAAAATTTACGTCGCACACCCCAATATGAGACGTAAAAAGTCATCTTTACGTCGCACTGGGAGGCGCGACGTAAAGATGGCCTTTACGTCGCGCATGGGGGCGCGACGTAAAAGCTAAGGCTTTTACGTCGCGTCCCCAGTACGCGACGTAAAAGGCCATCTTTACGTCGCGCCTCCCGAGTGCGACGTAAAGATGACTTTTTACGTCGCTTACTACACTCGCGCGACGTAAAAAGTCTATTTTATTTCCCTCCGACCCACTTCCTCGTCTCGCGCAACCAGGGTTTTTTAGAACGACGACGAGAACGACGACAACAGCCTACCTCCGCACACCATTTGCGAGCAGTTTTACAGTGAAAAACATCTACATTGTCGTGTCATTTGACGAACTTCATCTTTCTCCCGATTGGATTCGAGTTTGAAATCGGTTTTCGTCTACACTCGAGGTTAGTGTTCATTGTCATTGCTATATGTTTACATTGAATCCGTGATTGTTTTTGGGGATCTCAATCACGTTATAGTATGAATGTCTCCACTGGATTGTTATTGGAATGCGGTTATTTGTTTATTTGTTTGAGTGCATTCGGTTTACACACTCCATTGTTGTTGGAACGTGCTTTGTTGTTTGTATATTAATTTTTTTTTACATATAATTTTTAAATCTTTAGGAGTGACGAAACTTTATAACATAATATGAATCGAAGTTGGATGAATGCACGTCGTATTAGTGAAGAGTACGAAAAGGGAGTTGAGGAATTTCGAAATTTGCTAGTGAAAATGGAAAAGCTATGAAAGGGACATATTATTGTCCATGTGTTCGTTGTTTGAATCAAATTCGTCATAAACTTGAGGATATACGTGATCACTTGTTTGTTTATGGTATTATTAAGAGTTATACAATATGGACATGGCATGGAGAAATATTAGACATCCCAACCGTGTCAACTACGGACAATTTTGATGAAGGGATGGATGATAATCTAGAGGATATGATACGTGATATTGGTGAAGAACATTTTATGAAAGCACATCTATATGATTCTTTGAAATCTGATTTTGCGCAACAATTGTACATAGGATGTAGTTTTACAAGATTATCGACAACTTTAAAATTGTTTACTTTAAAAGCAAGAAATGGATGGACTGATAAAAGTTTCACCGAATTATTGGAGTTGTTGAAGGAGATGCTTCCGAAGATAATACATTACCTATTCAGTAACTATGAGGCAAAGAAGATATTATGTCCAATGGGTTTAGAGTACAAGAAAATACATGCATGTCCTAATGATTGTATATTGTACAGTAAATGATTTTGCTAAATTAAAGATGTGTCCGACATGTGGTTTGTCGAGGTTCAAAACCAAAGTTGAGGAAAGTAGTGGTGAGGAAGAACTAGATGGTCCCCCTGCTAAGGTGTTATGGTATTTGCCAATTATACCTAGGTTTAAAAGATTATTTGCCATAAAAGAAGATGCAAGAAACTTGACATGGCATGCAAATGGTAGAAAATGTGACAATCTTCTTCGACATCCAGCTGATTCTCCACAATGGAAAAGGATTGATGAAACCTTTCCAGAATTTGGTGCGAGCCAAGAAACTTGAGAATTGGATTAGCTACGAGATGGGATGAATCCTTATGGAAATTTAAGTAGTAAACATAGTTCATGGCCAGTTATGTTGATCATTTACAATTTGCCTCCTTGGTTATGCATGAAGAGAAAATATATGATGTTATCTATGATGATTTCGGGACCTCGACAACCAGGAAATGACATAGATGTATATCTTAGTCCTTTAATTGATGATTTGAAGATGTTGTGGGAAACGAGGAGTGGATGTATTTGATTCATATCACGAAGTGAATTTCGGGTTGCGTGCAATGTTATTTTGTACTATAAATGATTTTCCAGCGATATGGTAATTTGAGCGGTTATAGTGTGAAAGGTCATTTAGCGTGTCCTATATGTCAAGAAGACACAAGTTATATCCAATTGAAACATGGACAAAAAGCTGCGTACAATAGGCATAGAAAGTTTCTAGTTGCTAACCATCCATATCGTAAAATGAAGAAAGCATTTAATGGATGTCGGGAGAATGCGATTGCATCGAGTACCACGCAATGGTGAACAAGTATATGAGCAAGTGAAAAATATTAATATTGTGTTTGGAAAGACCCAAAAGAAATCCAATGAGAAAAACATTTGGAAGAAACTGATCCGTATTCTTCAATCTTCCTTATTGGTGTAAGTTGGAAGTTAGACACTCGTATAGATGTGATGCATGTTGAAAAAAATGTTTGTGATAGTGTAATTGGGACATTGCTTAACATAAAAGGAAAGACAAAAGATGGAATAAAAGCAAGACAAGATTTGGCGGACATGGGTATACGTTCGAATTACATCCACAATCAATTGGAAAACGCACTTACTTACCTCCGACTTGTCATACTCTATCAAAGAAAGAAAAGAGAAGCTTTTGTGAGTGTTTACGTGAGGTCAAAGTGCCACAAGGATACTCCTCAAATGTTAAGAGTCTTGTGTCTATGCAAGAGTTGAAATTAGTTGGTTTAAAGTCTCATGATTGTCATGTGTTGATGCAACAACTTTTACCAGGTGGCTATTCGAAACATCTTACCAACTTACGTTAGAATTGCTATTACTCGGTTATGTTTGTTTTTCAACGCCATTTGTAAAAAGGTAATTGATCCAAAAAAGTTAGATGAATTAGAAAATGAAGCAATTGTAATAGTGTGC